ATAACATCTTTCTCCCTTGCCGGGATTATGTTGTGTATTGTGTTGAAAGAAATGGGATCGTGTGGCACGCCGACCATGAGTTATTATAAAATGGGATCGTGTGGCACGCCGACCACGAGTTATTATGAAATGGGATCTTGTGGCATGCCGACCACGAGTTATTATGAAATGGGATCGTGTGGCACGCCGACCACGAGTTATTATGAAATGGGATCGTGTGGCACGCCGACCACGAGTTATTATGAAATGGGATCGTGTGGCACGCCGACCACGAGTTATTATAAAATGGGAACGTGTGGCACGCCGACCACGTGATATTATTGTAATGGGAGCGTGTGGTACGCCTACCACGTGATGTAAGGAAGTGGGATCGTGTTGCACGCCTGCAATGAGAGGAAATTGAAATAAGTGAAGTGGTATGTTTTCCTTTATTCTGTGTTAGAAGAAATCAGATGTAGTTTCTTCTGTTAATCCTGATATTCTATTTTATCTGCTTCCCCATAAGCATGTTTCCCCCTCCCAGCTTTAATTGCTTACTTTCCGCTATTATTTTGTTGTACTTGTATATATATATCTGCACAGGTTTATCTGGTAGTCTGGCCTAGCCTCGTCACTACTTCGCCGGTTTCGGCTAGGCACTTACCAGCACATGGGGTTGGTTGTGCTGATGCTACACTCTGTGCATCTTTTTGCACAGATCACAGTACCGGAGCAGCAGCTTTTGGACAGCAGTAGAAGCATTTGGGAGCTGACTTCAATCCAGAGATCCCGAGGTAGCCTTGCTGACGTCCGCATGGCCCGGAGTCTCTTCTATCCTTATTTCGTTTGTTGTCCTTGTACCGGAACAAATAGTATTGTATTTTATTCAGACTTTGTTTTTAGTATTCTATTAACGTTCGTGAGTTAGTGACTCCAGTCTTGGGTAGAGGTTGTAATTGAAATTCCGCACTTGTTTTCAGTTCATTTATATTTAAAACTTCCGCTTTTATATTAAATATCTCATTGCCTTAGTATTGTCGATGTTGCCAAGAAGGTTAATAATTAATTGGCTTGCCTAGCTCCTAATAGTAGGCGCCATCACGACTCCCGACGGTGGGAAATCCGGGTCGTGACATAATGAATGGCCCATATACATTGAATAATAGACCAATTATCCTAAGGCCATGGAAGGAGGGATTTGATTTGGAGGATGAGATTCTCATAACTATACCACTATGGGTGAAATTCCCTAAATTGCCACTTAGTTACTGGAGCAGTAAGGCTCTAAGTAAGATTAGGAGTGGGCTGGGTAAACCTTTATATGCTGATGCATGTACAACTATGACTGACAGAGTTTTATATGCAAGAGTCCTAATCGGGATGGATATTACGAGGCCCTTACCAGGATCAATAAAGCTCTATGATCCAACTGGGAAAAGGATTGATCAGATTGTGCAATATGACTGGAAGCCACAATATTGCCAAGAATGTTGTCAACTTGGCCAATTATGTAAGGAACAACATCAGCAACATAGTGAAGAGGGGCAGCAGAGGACCAATAACCAGAAGCCAAAGCAGGAATGGAGAATAGTAAGGAAGCTTGATCCAAAGGTGGATAAGATAGATGGCCAAGGAAGATTCATGGAGCAACTTGAAACAGAAGAATAATTAGGCCCAAATCAGCGAGAGAATGGCAACCAATGGCAGATTGCTAGTGGAAGGTCTGCATAAAAAAAACAAATGGGAGCTAAAAGGGGAGATGAAGTCAACATAGGCAATGCATTTAAAGTCCTAGTGGACACTGCCCATAAAATAATGCAATTCTCTGAAGAACAGGAGATGAGAAGTAGGAGGAGTAGACAAGGAAATGAAGATAATCCCAAAACAACAAATATATCATGATGAACATTATAACATGGAATGTGAGGGGCATGAATAAGGTGTATAAGCAAAAATTACTAAAAAATTTCTGTAAGGAGAATAATGTAGCAGTAATGGCAGTTCTGGAAAATAGAGTAAAAGAAAGTAAGGTTGATGCACTAATGAGGAAAGTATTTGGGGACTGGAAATGGGTAGCCAACTATGAAGTAGCACCAGGTGGGAGAATTTGGGTTGTTTGGGATCAGGCAAGGTTGGAGTTTGAAGTCAAACAAGTACATGATCAATACATAGCAGGGCAGATAACTATGAGGCAATATAACAGTAACTTCTTTTTTGTTGCTGTATATGGTAAACATAATATCCAAGATAGGAAGTATATGTGGAATGATCTCAAAGGGACAATGAATGGAGTAAATTGGCCAAGTGTTCTAATGGGGGATTTCAATAGTATTATGTCCATTGAAGATAGAATACAAGGGAACCCAGTACAAGATGTGGAAGTGAGAGATTTTAAAAACTTTGTAGGGGAGGCTAGATTGACTAAAATTTGAACAATAGGGAGATATTGCACATGGACAAAATAACACTGTGCATAGTAGAATTGACAGAATCCTAGTCAATGCAGAATGGATACAAAAGTGGCCTCAAATGGAAGGGATCATTATGCAACCTGAGTTTTCAGATCACTGCCCCTTGATGATAACTATGGCTGAGGATATTGTACAGGGTAAGAGACCTTTCAAGTTTTTTAACTGCCTAGCTAATCATCAGAAGTTTGAAGAAATAGTGAGTCATTGTTGGAGGAGGAAGCATAGGGGCAACAAGATGCAAAATGTATGGTACAAGCTTAAAGAAATGAAAGGTGAATTAAAGAAGCTAAACACTCAGGAATACAGTAGTGTGAGGGATAAGATAAAAGAAACAAAAAACAAACTGATGCAGCTTCGACAGGATATGCAATCTCCAGAGAATGATAGTGCAGTCATAGATGAAGAAAAGAAGACTAAAATGTAGCTGGCTAAATGGATGGAAGTAGAGGAAAGCATAATGAAACAGAAGGCTAGAGTCAAATGGCTAAAAGAACGGGACTCCAACACAGCATATTTTCATGTTTGTGTGAAAAACAGACAGGCAAGGAATCACATTGGAAGACTTACAAATAATGAAGGGCACATACTGCAGAACATAAAGGAGGTTGAAGAGGAGATACTACAGTTTTATAAAGCACTACTAGGTACAACAGCCTCTGCTTTGCCAGTAGTGAATCCAGATATAATAAGGAGTGGGAATATGCTGAGCAGGAATCAACAAATGCAGCTAATAAAGCCAGTCACAAAGGAAGAAGTACAGACAGCTTTGAAGGGTACAGATGATAGCAGGGCACCAGGATGTGATGGATATAATGCCTATTTTTTCAAGAGGACATGGAGCATAACAGGAGAGGAAATTACATCAGCAGTATTGGAATTCTTTGAAAATATAGATTTGTGCAAAGCCATAAATTGCACTACTATTACTTTGATTCCTAAAGTGAAGAATCCAACAAATATCAAGAAGTATAGGCCTATTTCCTGCTGTACAGTGTTATATAAGATAATCTCCAAGATCAGTAAGATTACAGGAAGTCATGCCAGAATTAATAGACAAATGCCAAACAACTTTTGTTCCAGGAAGAATGATAGCTGATAACATCATCATGAGCCATGAGCTGGATAAAGGTTATGGAAGGAAAAACATATCACCAAGGTGTATGTTGAAGATTGATATGCAAAAAGCATACGACTCTGTGGAGTGGATATACATAGAGAAAATGATGAAACTACTGGGATTCCCTGAGAATTTTATAAGGTGGATAATGAAATGCATCAGTACTGTGAACTATACAATAATCATCAATGGGCAACCAGCAAAACTTTTTGAGGCAAGGAAGGGGCTTAGGCAGGGTGACCCATTGTCTCCTGTGCTATCTGTGATGGCAATGGAGTACTTGAGCTGACTATTGAAAACCTTAAAGGGAAACAAAGAGTTCAAATACCACCCTAAGTGTGCTAAAGTCAATTTAGTACACTTAGGTTTTGCTGACGATTTGTTACTTTTTTGCAGGGGAGATATACAATCAGTCAGGGAAATGCATCAACAATTTAAAACCTTTTCTGAGGCATCAGGATTAACTGCAAACCAAAATAAGAGCTGCATATACTTTGGAGGAGTTGACCTTGTGAACCAAAGAAGGATTATGGATATGCTGGGATATAACAAGGGAGAGTTACCCTTCAGATACTTAGGGGTACCTTTAAGAACAAAGAAGCTATCAATTATTCAATGTGAGCCTTTGATTGATAGGATGCTGAACAAAATACAATGTTGGACATCAAAGTTCCTGTCATATGCAGGGAGAGCTATGCTTATAAAGAGTGTCTTGACTGCAATTCAAAACTTCTGGGCTCAGATCTTTATCTTGCCAAAGAAGATTATTCAGTTCATTGATACAATATGTAGAAGGTTCCTATGGTCAGGGAATGTAGAGCCTACTAGGAAGGCACTGATTGCTTGGGAAAAACTGTGTTGTCCAAGAGTTGCAGGTGGCTTGAACTTTACTAATGTAGAACTATAGAACAAAGCTGCCATATGCAAGTTACTATGGAACATATGCAAGCAGAAGGAAAAGTTATGGATACAATGGGTTAATGCTTACTACATAAAAGGGAATACAGTATGGAGTACAACACCTAAGAATGCATCTTGGGTCATTCAGCAGATCTTCAAGGCAAAGAAGTATTTTAAAAATGCTGGATACACTGAACAAAAGGTGCAGAGGATAGACAGCTTCTCAATCAAACAAATGTATAAAACCATGCAGGGGGAGTTCCAGAAGGTAACTTGGAGGAAAATAATACGCAACAACTATGGACTTCCAAAATGGATATTCATATTGAGAGTTGCAATTATGAAAAGATTGGCAACAAAGGAAAGATTAGCAAGATGGGGAGTAAATATAGAGACCACATGTGCACTATGCCAACAAGGGACTGAAACAGTTCAACATTTGTTCTTTGAATGTGAAATGGCAAGAAGAACTGGCATGGATACAAAGAGTAGCAAAAGGAAGAAGTGGATGAGCAACTTTATGTAGAATGACTTTAGCTGCTGCAGTTTACTATATATGGCAGGAAAGAAACAATGTCATCTTCAAACAGAAAAGAAGAACAGCAGCAAGCATAGTCAGAATGATTATTCAGGAAATCCACATTAGAGCCACCATGTTTCCTAGATTAGAAAGGACTATGACCAAAGTGAACTGGTACCCGGATACAATGGAACAGTGCTAGAGGACAGAAAAGTAGGAAAGTAGAATTGTAGGGACCAAAACTGGGGCTGCATGTCCAGTGGGGTAGTTTTGCTCATGTACATATTTTTACTTGGTAAATAAAGTCAATTAATTACCAAAAAAAAAATATACTTCAAATATATCTCATAAGAGTATAAGTGTAGAATTTTTGTAATATAGAGGGTGTAATTAAGCATATAATTCTAAATATATAACCTAAACTAAGTCATATTATAGGAAACTAGGGATGTTTAATGTAGTTAACTCTTCTTATTAATATTTGCTTCTTAGTGTGAGAATATGTTATTGGAAAAATCTTATTGAGTTCTCAACATCGAAATTCTCCTAACCAAAAAGTGACTTGAATGTGACTTCTACCAACACATCAAAATTTACACTTGACCAGCTCGGCAAGTAATTTAGGTTGCTAAATGCTTCAAAGATCAATTTTTTTTGAGCAAACAAGAAATATATATATTAATAATTAAGTAGCATTTAGTACATGCATACTTGGTGTCACTAAGGACACTTTGGTTTCCTACGCTTGCTAGAGTGTTACAAGCTTCATAAGATAGAAGTTTCACAAAAATATAGTGTTCTAGTAGTTCCTTATCCACAATACATTTTACATAAGATGGAGGTTTAACAAAAGTTTTTTTGCCTTCCGTTTGATCCACAACCTTCTTAGCCATCTGATGAGCTATACTATTCCCTTGCGTGAATGTGTGCTGGAGGGTTATCTCCTTCTGCTGGTGCTTTAACACCCTGCATTCATTAACAATGTCATCATATAATCTATTACCCTGTTGGATAGATTGAATAACCTCCACGGAATCTGTCTCTATTTCAAGAGGGAACATTCCCCATTCTTGGGCTGTTTTAAGTCCCTCCAGGAGAGCTTTTATTTCTGCTTCTAATGATCCACTTGCATGGGATGGTTCTCCAAAGTCCACTATCCAATGTCCATTGGCATTCGTGAATACACCTTCCAGACCACATTTTTGTGTACCACTGTCAAAACTGGCATCAATATTTAGTTTAAACCATCCTTTTGGTGGTTTGTGCCATCTAATTTTGATGGGAGTTTTTTGAGGAGTATACATACTTTTTTCAGTGAGGAGTTTGAATTCAGTCGCCTTTTGAATAATATAATCACCATTAATAGGAATTGTAGTGTTGTTTTGATTGTTACTGTTCCTATTTAACCAAATATACCATATAGCAAATGGAAAGAAAGAGTCCCACTTTATAAAATTATTTTTTATTGGGTAGTCATAGTCCTTTAGCTGAATAAGCCAGTGTTCACCTTGGGTATTATAGTAATGTTGCCACCCAAGACTATCCCAAAATCTTTTAGAGTCTTGACAATTAAAGAAGATGTGAGCTATAGATTCCTCTTCATGACATTTACATATAAGGCAAATTGGATCGATATTTAAGCCAATCTTGGCTAGGTATTGTCTACAAGGTATCCTATTATGGAGACATTGCCATAAGAAGAATTTGATTTTATTAGGGCAAGCTAATTTCCAAATTCATGTGAAATCTACTAAGGTACTTTTCTGAGGCTCAATTAGGTTATAGCATGTTTTGGTCGTAAAAAAACCTTTTGTAGTTGGTGACCATATTGGAATGTCACTAGTTGGACCCTTTAGGCGAATTCTTACCTTGGTGATATTTTCTTTAGTTTCATTTGGAATATTGAGAGAGATTTTGTCAAATAACCAGTTTTCCTCATCAAAGATGTCTTTTAATTTTATGGAATAATTTTTTTTTAAGAGGGGGCCCTCTATTGTTTTTCTAAGGTTTCGTACCTTTGGAATCCAATTGGTTTCCCATATGTTCATGTTGGAATGACGATGAGCTGACCAAATAATACCTTTAGAACATAAATCCCATCCTTTTTCAATGCTTTTTCAGATGAAAGAATTTTTATTTTTAGCATTGCTAGATGCATAGGAAGAGATCATTAGTGTAGCCTAGGGTGTGGTAGCATTAGTGAGCATTCTCCATACCATGCTAGCTAGGGTGCATAAATTCTTAGAATTTGCATTATGGATTCCAAGGCCTCCATTAGCTTTTGTTTGGCAAATAGTAAACCATTTAATAAGATGAATTTTCTTCCTTTCAGTGATAGTGCCCCAGATGAAATCTCATTGCTTCAAAGATCATACTTGAGCTTCAAACGTAAATATAAAAACCAAACGCTTCTCAAACAAATTATTACAGAATACAATTCTCTTGAGCAAACTCTCATTTGGATCTTTTATAATTAGTTCCGATATAAATTAATGAGATTATTTGGTCCTTCAGATGAGAATATTCAGTTAGTTAAACTATTTCAGGAGACTAACTTGTTACAGTATCATAATAAATAATATCCTTTCAGATTTTCTTAAAGAAGATTGTGCATATATTAATTGAATTTCCATTTCCATCCATCTTGTTATTAATTGCATTGTCAAGTAAGAGTAAATAAGCACAAATTAATACATTATAGTCTGCTATGTGGCATTAGAGCCACAATTGTATATCTAGTTGGTATAAGAGATCAAACATGAAGTAAAAATAGCTGCGCTGCCACATTTCAAAACTAATTTTTTCAAAAACTATTGGTGAAGTCAGCTGGCCAAGCCTCCTTAGTTAGTTTAGTCTGTTTAAGCCCAAATATATAGTTATAATTATTTGAGAGAACTTCATTTATAGCCCATCGGACAAAACAAATTTCATCCGGTAGCCCACAAATTGACCCATACAAGTCATAGCCTAAAAATAATGACAAGTGCTAGCCGGAAACTTTACTGATCGAATTCCCTCGCTGGAAATCCAGCCAGCCAACTATGACCATGACTGCTCCTCTCGCTTTCCTCTTCTTCCCTAAAGGTTGCTGTTACTGATTTTTACTAGTCACCGCCGGAATTGACCACTGGCTGGCGACGGTATTAGTTCACATCAATTTCCCAAGCAATGATTTAATCTTGAAACAAATTTCACCAACAGATGCAAAAGTCACAAGCTCAAAGTAAGTGGATTTTGAATTTTACTCCTCAATTAGCTTCGCCCAATTCATCAAATCACTAAATTAACAGTATTTCAATTCAACGGAACAATTCCAAATCTCACTTTTCAGTAACAAACAAACATTAACAGAAGTTCCAAACCCAGACATGAGTTTCTTTTCTCGATTCAACTTCAGAATCAATGACACCAATAAGAGCAGTAGCGGAATTTCTTTTTTAATAGTTTGATTTTGAGTTTTGTGGCGACGGTAAAAGTCCAGATCTTCTTATTTCGGTAGTGGTGTAGCATAAGGCTCAACCTTGTCTTCTTCTCTGTATTTCTCTTATGTTTC